TTATGACACACTTAAATTTGCAAAAATTGACTTCGCAAAGCCATTGAAATGCATTGAGTCAGCTTCAATACATTCCAATGGAGGAAACATTGTATTGTTTAATGATGTTTCCTATGGGTTTTTTCGCTTAAGGACGGCAATCCGTGCCTATTGGAACGGATTAACCGGTTTCCAATGCATTCCTATGGGAAATGGTGTTTCACATAACGATGTTTCACATAACTTTTTTTTTGGAACCAATTAAAATTGTTATGCGAGGCACCACTGTATATGGATTGTTTTTCATTATTGTTTTGACTGGATTTTAGTACTACTTGTTGTGTACTCATTGTTTTCAACTTAAAATATTGTCTTTCAATGTTGTAAGCTGCCTGGGGTCCGTTTCAAGGAGAAAAGCAGGGTAAAGACAGACAGACAGACAGACTTTTTCATTATTGTTTTGACTGGATTTTAGTACTACTTGTTGTGTACTCATTGTTTTCAACTTAAAATATTGTCTTTCAATGTTGTAAGCTGCCTGGGGTCCGTTTCAAGGAGAAAAGCAGGGTAAAGACAGACAGACAGACAGACAGAGAGACAGATAGAGTGCAGCATCTTTGAAGGTGGATTGTTTGAAAGATAAAATACACATCAAACAGTAGTAGCAGTTTGCAGAGAAGTAACATTGTTCATTTGTCTGAGCATGATGGCAAAATTAAAAAGAAAATCAAAAGAGAGGGCAAATTATTGTGACATTTTAAAGACTAACAGATGTATTTCAGAGCTTTTATGAAGTCAGAATCCACTTTTTCTGACACTAAGGAGTGTAAAAGGTAGTAGTTAGAACATGTAAGGTGCAACATTTGTTCATATGCTGACACAAGATATTTCTGTTGGGTTGTATGAAAAACCTAGCAGAAGAATATCCATATTTATCAAGTATTTGGAGATATGGCATTTCCTTTTAGATCCGATTGTTGGTCTTCTATGGTTAAACATGCTTCTTTTTCGTTCTACAACAGTGTGCCTAAAGTGCATTTAATGATGGATTTGTCTCGCTCTCCTCTCCAGAATGTCATGTCTTCTGACTGTCTTGAGCTGGGCTACACAGAGGATGGTCATTGCAAAGGAGAGATCACTCCAGGCATTCCCATGCCCTCCAGACTGCAGTGGGAAATCCCTGAAGAAGTGAGTGTATAGACTTTTCCAAATCAATATTATGGGCTATGTCCTATTAGTATCCCTCGAACAAGTGAGATCATAAGTTTTAATCCATAGATTGAATAGCTTCACCTTTTAATGTTTGTCAGTCCATACATCTTAACATGGCTAGATAACAATATTTAAATATCTGAATTTTATGTATATTTTTCATAAAAATGCCCGAAGTAACCATTCAGCAGTGATGGACAGAATTGGTTTTGGTTTGAATTAAAGGGGATCAGAAGCGGATATTTTTAGTGACAGATGCTTTATACTCAGAACAATCAAGAATTAATAACTCTCTATGAGATTCCTATTAGCATTTTAATTAGATTGATAGCAAAGTTCTGTTTATGTAAACTTGAGGTAATTGTTCTGTCTAAACATAAATCTCAAATGCAAATTGTGATATAAAAATGCCAAGTCAAAGTACATAATTTTCATCTTCTAATATTACGGGGGTATTTGTATAATGTGTTAATCAGTCACTCCTATTCTAGTGCCAAGAGGTGATTGAGAGCTCCCTGGCCATTGCCAGGCCCCTAGCAGATGATGTGGATTTCCATTCGTTCCCTTTTGAAACCTTTGGGAAAGGATTAATGAAGAAGACAAAAACAAGTCCTGATGCATTTGTGCAACTTGCACTGCAACTTGCTCATTACCGGGTAAATACTGTGCACATTCTGTTTAGATGTTTCGTAAAACAGATACAAGAAATGCAATTGAAAATTTAATGCAAATAAGATTCAATATTTCTTTTGTTTTGTTCTATCCCATGCTACTACTACACTGGTGCCTCGCATTACAAGCGTTCCGTTTTATGACGAAATCGCTTTACATTGAAGATTTTGCGACTGCAAAAGCGATTGCAAAATGAAGTTTCCTATGGGGGAATTTTGCTTAGCGATTATCAGTTACCTGCTTCAGGAACCGTTTCTCGCAAAGCAATGATTTTCGGCCAGCTGATCGGCGGTTTCAAAATGGCCGCTGGGTAAAAAACATGGCTCCCCGCTGTTTTCTGGGACGGATTCCTCTCTGCACAGGTAGCGAAAATGGCCATGCTATGGAGGATCTTCGCTGGACGGTGAGTTTCACGCCCCTAGGAACGCATTAATCGGGTTTTAATGCATTTCTATGGGCTTTTTAATTTCGTATTACGACGTTTTTGTTCTACAGTGATTTCGCTGGAACGAATTAACATCGTAATGCGAGGCACCACTGTATTTCATTAGTACCTCCTTCTCTAAAATGAACAGCTTCTCAATTCATCTGTGAGCAGGTTTTCAACCAGACCTTCAAGAGAAAAGCAAAGAAAAATTCCCCTCCTCGCCCCCTCCTGTCTCCTCCCACTTTGGCTTTTATTTTTTCAGTGTGGTGCACCTAATACACACGGTCATTTTTTTTCACATCTTTAGCCATCCCACAGAGCAGAGGAAGTGTTTAATTTGCCAATATTCTGACGTGGCTCTCTTCTTAAGGCACTTTACAATATTGGCAAATTGACATGAGACTGCTGCCAACGAAATAAGATTGTTTGAGGTCCATATGCAATTTAAATGGCCTACCAGATCTCCTAGTGACCCTATTTAGCCCAATCTAGCCCACTCCTTTGAGATTGTATAGACCTTTGTTAATTTAGTACATGATTTGAAAAGTACACTGTATTTTTTCTGACTTTGTATCTGCTCCTTGCATCTAACACCCTGTCTGCATTTTTCTTTAAGGACATGGGAAAATTTTGTTTAACTTATGAAGCGTCTATGACTCGCCTATTCAGAGAAGGTAGAACAGAAACAGTTCGTTCATGTACTATTGAGTCATGCAAATTTGTGCAAGCTATGGATAACACATCTGAAAGTGTAAGTTTAATGTGGCAATAAATAGTTTTACCTTTATTTTACTTGCTCTGTGCAGTCTCTTAAATTTTTTTTACTGCTTTTGTTATTGACATACTAGTAGACTTACTTGTAACATAAATCTAAATAAGCTTTTGCCTTTCCTAAAAATATACAAAAGTAAATTTAAGTGCCATCACACCTTAGTGAGATAGTATTAGAAGAAAGTGCAAAGACTTGGGAAGAAAATCAAGATTTTTGCCACTGTAAAATCTAACCTTTATTTTTTCTAAATATAACACCCTTTGCCTCCTTGTCTTTCCACTGTTGAGTAGATCATAGTTCTCTGATACACATGAGATTTCTGGATCTTTTTCATGACAACTACCAGAATTCATCTTAAATCCCCCCAGTCAGAATTCTGGCACTTGTTGCCAAAAAAAATCCAAGTCCTCAGAAGAGTTTCAGCACACACACCTGAGGCCAAACGTGTTTTTCTCTGCAACCATTACATAGGGATAGAGTGGGTTGGACATGTTAAGTTTGATGGGAGCTACAAGGGGTTGTCTCTCTGCTCATTAGGTTCTGCACATGCTCAAAAAACTACCAATTCCACAGCTTCCTTCTAGTAGCAAATTCTGGTTTTACACCTTGCAGGTGTTTTATAAAAAATATGTGTGTGTGATTAGTCGTTTAGTCGTGTCCGACTCTTATATGTATCTTGCCACCTAGGACTGGTAGGAAAATGACAGAAACCCTGAAAATGTCATATCCCCATTTTGAAACTTGTTTTGACCAGAAAGATTATATGACTAGCCTACCCACTTGGCCAAGGTACCAGACTGATGCAAATCTGTCTGGACTGAAACCTAACTGCTGTTCATGTTTTTTTTTTGTTTTTTTTAAAAAAATTCTAATAAAGTTGTCACCAATGCCTATGGATGTATACAAGAACTTCAGGACTTTTTTAAAAAAAATCTTAAGTGTTAATCATTATTATCTACATAGTAACTTTTTAATTAGTGGTAACATGTTGGGGTCACGAAATGAGAAAGCTGATGGGCTTTGTGATCACAAGTAATTAGGATAGCAAATAGTCTTTTAGATAGATAGAAGTTAAAGAAGTAATCCACACACAGGGATGTCTGCCAGCAGTGCTCCTGATGGGCGACTAGTCTGAGGAAGCAGAATGAGAAGTCTTCTCTGTCCTGCCCCCAGGAGGACTGTGCTTTTATTAACCTTACAAGCTCACAGATAGTGGACAGTATACAGATAGGTTACAGAGTTCAGATAGGACAATGGTTACATCATGCAATTATGATTGGCCTAAGGAAAGGCTCTTTAAGCAAGCACTCTATCACCTATGAGAAAGAAGAAGAATGGGTAGCCACGCCCCTCAGAAGCAGCTGTGACGTCATCCAGGAGGGTTTGCCCTGCTACTGAAGATTAAGTCAAGATCTTAGGAACTTTGGGAATGGCACCCCCACGGTTACAGTAACTGGTTACTAAAAGTAACTGGTTGGAATAACTGTTACTCATAATTAGTTATTTCCAAGATAGATACTTGCGCAAATTCATGAGGGAAAAGAGAGAGACTTCATTATAGCCTTTTACTGCACCATGTGAATCTCAAGAGAATTACCTATACATCCTGAGAGGTTTAGTGAGCATTTGTCATTCATTTGAAGTGTTGGGATATGGCAGGTGGGGAATGTTGAGGAATATTCTGTATGCTCTGTGTCCCAGGAAGGGCTTTATACGGATGTTGTCATGCTTTGTCTTTTGCTAGGCTTTCAAAATTCTTTAACACTATTTTAGAATAGAAATATTTGATTTCTGTCTTCAATGTTCAGCTTGAAAAGAAGATTACACTATTCAAAGCGGCAGCTGCCCGTCATCAGCATTTGTATCGTCTTGCCATGACTGGTGCTGGCATTGATCGCCACCTTTTCTGCCTTTATGTGGTATCCAAATACCTTGCTGTTGAATCACCTTTCCTTAAAGAAGTAAGTAGGCAAATAATAATTATCAAATAAATGAGACATAGAAATGGCAGATCCCTGAAAATTCAAAAGACTGAATAAAGATATTTTTATGGAGATTCAAAAAAGTCACTTCTAAGATAAAATATTGCATGAAGTGTTTTAAGCCTATGGTATATCCATAACACTTCAAAATAGAAATCTATAGATTATTGAAAGTAATAATCCTAAATCACAGACAATGCTATACAAGACAGACAAATAACCTAATTTGAAAAAAAAAAACACCAAGTTTCACATTTCTGAGAAATCCTGAGAAATTTCCAGCAAGATTTTCAGGGAAATAAATCTCACACACAATCTTGCTGGTGGAAAGTAGCCTCCTAACTGTTTCAATTTAACAAATACTACAAACATATTTGTTGTTGAGAGTAAAGCTGCTTCCTAGGTATATCTTAATTTTCAATAATTGAAAAAACAGGAGTAAATAATAATGTTTGTTGAGAGTAGAAATCAAAAATGTAATAAAACTCAAGGAATATTTTATCAAATAGGTTTAAAGGGGATAGGTTGGATCCATTTAAGCATGCAGTCAGTTTTGTGCCTCAAGGAGTCTTTGGCTTTTACTACTCAAGCAGCTCTACATTTTGACATTGTTTTTCAACAAGTGTGAACAGTAGTGAATAAAAGAGGATATCTTGCAGACTAGCCATTCTCAACCTTTTTTTTTTTTTTGGCCAGGTTCTAGGGCCCCCTGTCAAACAAAGATACAACATGAATTAGATGAATAGAAAATCCCCTTCTCACATTTTTCAGTCTGTGGCCCCCTTCAGATGTGCCAGGACCTCCTGGGGGGGGGCATATGGCCCCTATTGAGAATGACTGCTGTGGACTATCTTGACTGCTGCCATTGATGTTGTCAACATTTAGGCTACTTTGCTATGGGAAATTTGGCATCCCTTTTTCTGCTGACAATGCTGTGCAGTAATATTGGGCCATTTCCTGACATGTTGAATTGTGGACAAACAAGCATAATATCCCACATTTATCAAATGGAGGTTTTAAAGAATTGAATTAATAGATCCTGCTACCCATCAGTTACTGCTGATGTGCACCGTCCATTTATTCCAGCATAGTATGCATATATGCACAGTGCTGGTATCATTGTTCTGGGTAGTTTCACCCAGTAACAATCTTATAGTTTTTCAGATAACTGCAGTTGCAGAAATTTCAAAAAAAGAAAAAAAATATTCCCAGCAGTATCAGTGGGTTTTGAATTCAAAACAGTAGGTTTAGAATTTTGCTGTGTGCTATTTCTGATACATTTTCACGCTCTTAGGTTTTGTCAGAGCCCTGGAGACTTTCAACAAGTCAGACACCACAACAGCATATTGATCTGGAGAAGAATCCTTGTATGGAGTCCAGTGGTGGAGGCTTTGGACCTGTAAGTTGAATGGTACCTATTTTTAAGAGGCCAGCAACATTGATCTGTTTATGCAGTATACCTGACTAGTGTGTCGAAAACACTATCACAGCACCATTAAGTTCTGAGGCTCCTACAGCATACAATGTCCCAAGCATTATATCCTGACACAAGAAGTTACAGAATCATTATCTGGGTAAATCTTAAGTTTCTATACCTATGAAGAAGTAATTAAGTACTGTACAGTATAACATTAAAACCTTAATCACTACTATATTTCCTGGCACAATGTTAGATTTTATTAATTGCATGTGGCATACCTTAGAAAGTAACTGGAAGTGTTCATACACACATAATTTAAAGAAAAACAAATGTGGAGGGATCTTCAAATATACTGTATGCATCTTGAAGTATACTTTTAATCTGACTTTTTCCATACATTGTAATTAAGATTAGCTACAGATTTTGGTGATGGCATTCCATTTGAACTATTTAAAATCTTAAAAGATGATGCTGTTAAGGTGCTACACTCAATATGCCAACAAGTTTGGAAAACTCAGCAGTGGCCAGAGGATTGGAAAAGATCAGTCTACATCCCAATCCCAAAGAAGGGCAGTGCCAAAGAAGGCTCCAACTACCGTACAATTGCACTCATTTCACATGCTAGCAAGGTTATGCTCAAAATCCTCCAAGATAAACTTCAGCAGTATGTGGACCGAGAACTCCCAGAAGTACAAGCTGGATTTTGAAATGGCAGAGGAACTAGAAACGAAATTGCTAACATGCGCTGGATTATGGAGGAAGCCAGAGAGTTCCAGAAAAAACATCTACTTCTGCTTCATTGACTACGCAAAAGCCTCTGAATTTGCACCACAGCAAATTGTGGCAGGTTCTTAAAGAAATGGGAGTGCCTGACCACCTTATGTATCTCCTAAGAAATCTATATGTGGAACTGGATTTGGAACAACTGATTGGTTCAAAATTGGGAAAGGAGTGCGACAAGGCTGTATATTGTCTCCCTGCTTATTTAACTTATATGCAGAATACATAATGCGAAAGGCTGGACTGGAGGAATTCCAAACCGGTATTAAGATTGCCAGAAGAAGAAGAGGAATTAAAGAACCTTTTAATGAGGGTGGAAGAGGAGAGCGCCAAAATGGTCTGAAGCTCAACATCAAAAAAACTAAGATCATGGCCACTGGTCCCATTGCCTCCTGGCAAATAGAAGGGGAAGATATGGAGGCAGTGAGAGATTTTACTTTCTTGGGCTCCATGATCTCTGCAGCTAGTGACAGCAGCCACGAAATTAAAAGACGCCTGCTTCTTGGGAGGAAAGAGATGACAAACCTAGACAGCATCTTAAAAAGCAGAGACATCACCTTGCGGAAAAAAGGTCCACATAGTCAAAGCTATGTTTTTTCCAGTAGTGATGTATGGAAGTGAGAGCTGGACTATAAAAAAGGCCGACCGCCAAAGAATTTGAATTGTGGTGCTGGGGGAGACTCTTGAGAGTCCCCTGGACTGCAAGGAGAACAAACCTATAAGTTCTAAAGGAAATCAACCCTGAGTGCTCACTGGAAGGACAGATCCTGAAGCTGAGGTTCCAATACTTTGGCCATCTCATGAGAAGAGAAGACTCCCTGGAAAAGACCCTGATGTTGGGAAAGTGTGAAGGCAAGAGGAGAAGGGGATGACAGAGGATGAGAGATGGTTGGACAGTGTCATTAAAGCTACTAACATGAATTTAACCAAACTCTGAGAGGCAGTGGAAGACAGGAGGGCCTGGCGTGCTCTGGTCCATGGGGTCACGAAGAGTCGGACAAGACTTAACGACTAAACAACAACAACAGATTTGGAGTTCAAATGTTAAGCTATAGTTAACAAAAAAACAGAAGCAATGAGTCCCCTAGACTTGTTTTGATAATGATAAACCAAGGTATTGTCATGAACATAGCTTGTCTTCAGTGGAGCATATTTAGAAATCTTTTTAAATATGGAACATTTCTTAGTGGATTTTAAAAATCAGTGGCCTGGAGAAACTGCTTGAGAGTTTGGTGGCACAAAACAGCATCTAACATTTTTTGAAAAAGTAGACTTTCTAAGTTCATTTTATTCTGGTTTCAGGCCATGGTTCAGGAAGAAGCAGCCTTGCTTGCCCTGCTTGATTACCTACTTTGAGGAAAAGTTAGAAGCACTACTGTGTTGATCTATTTAAACCTCCTGGGTCTTGCGGAACTATTGACTGTGAGATTTCTTTGCACTGACCCTGAGAGATAAGAGTAGAAAGCACTGTGTTCCTGGTTATTTGCATAACCAGTTATAAAGACTGGCATTGGGGCTTCTGTTCAGCTCCATTGGTATTGTCATTTTTCTAATAGAAGGATCCTCATCAGATAAAGCAAAGCAAAAAAAGCAAAGCGTGCTGCTTATATACCGCCCCATAGTGCTTCAAGCACTCTCTGGGTGGTTTACAAATTAATTGTGCAGGCTACACATTGCCCCCCCCCCCCAGCAAGCTGGGTACTCATTTTACCAACCTCAGAAGGATAGAAGGCTTGAGTCAACCTTGAGCCGGCTACCTGGGATTGAACCCCAGGTCCTGAGCAGAGTTTTGGCTGCAGTACAACGGTTTAACGACTGCGCCACGAGGCTCTAAGGATCCAGAGGCCCCAGAAAATAGATGTCTTTAGGATTTGCTGGACATCAGAGTCAAAAAGATGTTGCCACTCTTCAAGGGAATGATTGAAATCCATGTCCTTTTGAGGAGGGGTGCTCTATGGCAGAGTCAGAAGGAGATCTGACTCCAACTCCTAAAGAGCAGCAACATTTAAAGAAGCAAGGCAAAACTATTTTGCCTAGATGTGTAAGGTTGCAGCAGAGTATTATTTATTATTATTATTTATTTTATTTATATCCCGCCTATCTAGTCGATTGACCACTCTAGGCGGCTCACAACAAAGGGAACAACAATAATAAAAACCAATTTACAAAGAGGAAAACTTTCAACAATTGGGTAAAACACTAGGAGAGAGAAGGAAAGAGGAATCAGAAATTAACTGGGGGGGGGGGGGAAGGCCTGCCGAAACATCAATGTTTTTAGTTGCTTTTTGAAAATACCCAGCGAGGGGGCCGCGCGAATATCAGGGGGAAGGTTATTCCAGAGGCGAGAATAAAGAACAATTTGTGTGTAGGACTTCTGAAGGTGTCACAGCTGGAAATCTATAGTAATCTGCATAAAAGAGTTGTCTGCAGAAGCAGCTGGAAAAAAAACAAATCCATACCTACCATTTTTTAGGTTCTTGCATTCGTGGATACCTTCCGTATATGACACTACTGAAATCTGAATTAAGGCTGATAACAGACTAACTGAGGCATTACAGAATCCAGCTTTATAAACATGCTTGGAGGGAACCATGTTGCTGCTTCTCCCATTTCCCTCATGCTTTTATTACTGAGTCTGAAGCAGAAAAGTTCCTTCTCACGTGTAGGCTGTCCATGTGAGCAAGAATCCAGATTTTCTATGTGGAATGTGTGAAGGAAGTTATCATGGAGAACATGTGGCTAGGTCTTCCTTAAGTGTGTTGAAATACTAAATTGCGTAATGCCTGAACAACACTTTTGGCCCTGCACTGAACAAACAACTTTATCTGTTGTAAGCAAAGTTCCCTCTAAGGGCACGCCTGTGCCCCCCTCCACGCAGGGCTCCTTCTCCTCTGCCCTATAATTTTCAGCCCATTTGGTTCCAGTTGCAACAGAACCCCATGTGGGGCGGGGAGTAGTCGTGCATATGAGGGGCAGAGCCCCATCCAGTGGGGCTGAAAAAAAGAAGGAATGTTGGTTGTGAGTGACTCAGTTGTTTTCTGGACTCTGGTTTTGGACATGCCTTATCTAACTTGTTTGCTGACTTCATGTGTAGCTAGACCTCAATGTTTCCTCCGTATTATTTTTGTCTGTTTCTTAGCCAGTTTGATGATTTGATATGTGCCTCTATTGGCCTAACTTGGGACTTTCTGACTGGTACTTGCCAGCTGGAATCAGGACAGCTATTCAGCTGTGGGGGTTTTATTCTGTTTTTCAGTGTTTAACATCTGTATGAAACCAGTAGATGGAGATTATCAGGGATTTTGCAGCTGGGTGTCTGTGAGGCCAAACTGTGTTGTTTTGAATTGTACCAGCAGACCGCCCTGAGATCTTCAAACACAGGGCAAACTTGATGTACTTTAATAAATAATATAAAACTATGTGAATTTGATTCAAATTCAAGGCATTCTAAATGCATCTTCTGCAGGTTGCTGATGATGGTTATGGTGTGTCTTATATCATTGCGGGTGAAAATCTCCTAAATTTTCATGTATCCAGCAAACATTCTTGCCCTGATACGGTAAGCCTTTTCTTAAATTCAAAATATATCACTCTGTTCTGCAAACTAATATAGTAGGTCTGTTTTTGTTCGGCTCATGTTTAGAACATATTTTACTGTTTAAGCATATCAAAAAGTTGAATCTGCAGTTGAATCCATATAGAATATAAATTACTTTTTAAAAAATATTGTGGTGTTCTGTTTCTAATAAATGAGTGCATGTTATCTTATTGAGCAGTCCCTGTTTTGGCTCACATGAGCTTATTATATATAATTAATGTTGTACAATTCCCAATACTATTTAATTTTTTGTATTATATGTATGTATGTCTTTTTTCATCCCCCTAAGCTTTAGACCTGATCTATCATAGTTGTCTTTATGGGCAGAGACTGGCTTAAATTAGAATATTCTGGAATCATGCCTTTAAACTCGCATGTTAATTTGCAGTGTCTGAATTGAGCCATCACATTCCACTCTGTGTTACTATCATGAATATGTTTTAGACTACAGTCACGGAGTAAACTGGTGTAGTTTGGCAAAAATGCCCTTTACCTGTCCTTGCTTTGCAGTTGCCAGTAGCTGTTCATGTGGTGAAATCTTCCATTCCTCTGAGCCTTTCCCACATGAGGGTAATGTGCCCAGTGCCCTTTCAGCCAAGCCAGGAAAATTCTTGGCTAACAATCCAGTTCACAAACACAGCCCACTGAGCTCCAGAGGCACAGAAAAGACCTTTTTCTATTCCTTCTCTACACTGCCACCATCCCCTTTGTTACTGTAATGCCATTTGCTCTCTGTGCATGCAAAAAAGCCTCTTGCTAATTATGGTCAAGTAATGGCAAGGCTATGATGTTTAGGTAATGAGTGGGGCTTCTTCTTGACCATTTAGCAATCAGATTTCTGTCTAATAAGTAACATGTACTCTTGTGTAATTTTATGGTATATTTTAGAGGTACTAAATTATAATAGTATGTTGATTTTGATGTGTTATGTAGTATATCTCCTTCGGATAAAATACCAGACTGATATGTTAAATATTGCTGTATTTAATATAGCAAGAATCCTCTTTCAGCAGTGAATTGCCACAACTTAAGAAGTCAGAATGTACTACCTTATCATGCAGCTATTGCCTCTGCTGACTTCTTAACCTGCACCAATTTGCTGCTGACAATTATCCTGTTCATGTTATGATGCAGATTTTATTGATAGGATTCCTGGTGTTGACCTGTTTGTGTGTGTGTGTGTAACTTGTCATGGCTAATTGCTGCTAATTGACTGAGGTGCCTGGGCACATCTTGGTTATAAAGTCAGGCACACCATCTGGTATCTGATCAGTTACCTACAATTAGCAGTGGCATGTTATGGAAATCTTACACAAATATTGATAGAATTTTAAGCATCATATTCTCCCCCCCTCTGCTGTCACTATTTGTTTTAACAAAAATCAGTTTCAGAGATGTGGACTGTGTGTTGCCCAGCAGTGAATGTAATTTCTGGTTTGTTGTTATATTTTACTTATAAGCAATTGTATCTGGCCTTTGCTCAAAAGAAGAAGAAAAATAGATCAGAGTAAATGCTTAACCACTTTTTTCTCCCTGATTTAATTCTATCTATGTATTCATGTTTGAAGAAGATATGTGCAACTTCAGAGCTCCATGTAATTGTGATTTTGGAATTTCAACATTTCTTATTTTACTTCTTAGGATTCTCATCGCTTTGGGAAAAACATCAAACAAGCATTGTGTGACATCCGTGACTTGTTTAGTCTCCACAAAAACTGTACCAAGTGATTCCCTAATAGCTGGTCAACTAGTCAGTCACACTTTGTGTTGAAAGTGAGAACTCTTCTGATGAATGACTGAAAACAAGGCATGCCAAGCAGCAATCCATTCCAGAGCACATAAACAAGCTTTTTTTTCCTGAGAGGACCATAGTTCATCACTGTACTTGTTGAGAAGAGTTTACTTTTCCATCGGATACAATCTTGACATGTTCTCTGTGAGCTACAACCTGGCAACATTTATTCTAGGCTCATCTTAATTTGGTGACCATTTGATTGACCTTTAAGATGTGTTTAGTTGTACTCTGTAAATGAAGGGGTGAAAAATGTCTATGTATCCTAACAAGAACAAATCTGACTTGAAATGTACCAGTAATGAACCATCAGTAAATTTACTTGCTGTTTTGTTTTTAATGAATAAGTGACAATTTGGAGCATTTGTGATACGGAAAGACATTTCATTGACTTGAATCTAAAAACAAATTTGGCAAAAAATAATGTAGTGTGCTATGCAGGGGGGGTGGGAAGCTTTGCTACTTGGAACTGCATTTAAAATGTAGGGTAGTAATAAAATCTTTCCTAGACCTAAAATAATGGCATTTAACATTTTTTATTTAAATTAATTTGTGATTCTCAAATTTGGAAAGTAAAATCATTGAACTTAGAAGATAACAGTGATTCACGGTAATTTGTTGGGGCATATATTGTTGTATAAAAGTAAGCACATTTCTATACTGTGTAGTATATAAGGTTGGACAGGAATTTTTTGTGTCAATCCGAATGAAAGCTGCTTTCTGTTACAAAAGAATAATATCTACACTACTTAAAAACAGAGAACTGTAATTTTTGCTTCAAGTCACATTCACTTTAAAGTCCGTGAAAGTTACCTCACAGTATCTTTGTCCACAGGGGAAAGTGTATTCATCCCAAATCACAATATATGATGCAAACCCTGTTGGCCATCCCACAAGAGAAATAAAACTCAGCCTGTTTAATTCATTACAGCTTTATCACACTGAAGCCTTAAGCAGCTCCTTATTCATGTGCATAGAAAAGAAAGAAGGTCTTTAATAAAGAAATCATGGGAGTACTCTGGAAAACCAAACTCAAATATGTATTTAAAAAGCAGAGAGTTTGGTGAATCATGTTACCAAAGAGTGTGTTGCTGAAATTGCAAAAAGGATATGGGAGCTTGTGGCTTGTAGAAAATGCACCAAAAAGCATGAAAATTTTAACAAAAGTGTAACATTGATGTCTTCTACACAATCTTTGGCTATGAAAAAGACCATGGCATGTATTCAGAGGTTTTAATATAAAAATTCTGATGATTCTGAGGTTTTAATAATGAGAACAAATTGGAAGTGGAGATGGAAGAGTTCTTTTTCTGTCATGAAGATGGAAAACATAAATAATTTCTTTGTTAGTATCTTGGCTTGATATATATATAGATCAGACACATTATTTTATAAAAAATATTGGAGTACAAAGCCCCTATAGGAATACATTGAACATGCTTTCTCTAATCAGGTACACTAAATAGGCAAGAAAATTATGGGGAAACTTGATAATTTTACATGCCATGTTCCATGGAATTTGTAATTCATCAGCAAGTTGAGAGGTGTTTTGGAGCTTTATATTGACCACTGACCAAGTGCTATTAATTTTAAGACCAATAACTTTTATTATTATTAAGAACATTATTAGGCTTGACTCAGGTTTTAGATTTAGATATAATCCTAGTCAATTAGTGCATTATCAATGCAATATTTGTCATTCTTTAAGGGAATGTAAATGTATAATTGGCAGATGACAACAGTTTTTATTACAAGTGTTTGGAGAATTGAATGTCATGTATTTCTTTTATTTGACACAATATCTAAACTTGTTTCTATTCTCTTAAAATATCAATTGCGTGTAAATAATGTGTCTTTGGTTGTAAATCTATGCACAGTAAACAGGCTAGTCTTAATAAAGGAATTAATATTATTTTCATGTGCATTTTTATCTTACAGATATAATATTTAGGTTTTTTATGGCTTTCATATAAATTGAAAAAGAACTGTAAAATATGTACTAGAACAGAAGCAGTTTTTAATTTAAAGTGTTAATTCTATTTTATATTCTGAAATATATGAGACAACAAAAACACAGTAATAAGCATGAGTAGTATTAAAGAGGAAATAGTTGTCTGGATATTTATGCAAGACAAATCATGTCCCACTTGGTTATTGTGGGTTTTTCGGGCTCTTTGGCCGTGGTCTGAAGGTTGTTCTTCCTAACGTTTCGCCAGTCTCTGTGGCCGGCATCTTCAGAGGATAGCGCTCTGTGCTCAGAGTGCTGTCCTCTGAAGATGCCGGCCACAGAGACTGGTGAAACGTTAGGAAGAACAACCTTCAGAACACGGCCAAAGAGCCCAAAAAATCCACAACAACCATTAAATTAGTGAATACATGTCCCAGTTCTCTCTGACTATGTTTAAATTGAGTTATATCGTTTCCTTTGTTTTCTCCAAATATAGAATTAATATTGACTAGTAAGTACATTTTAATTTTAAAATTAGCTCCTTGAAGTTATCTTGTTATGTGCCATCAAGTCAGAGACAACTTATAGCTTCCACAATAGAGCTTTCCAGGTAAGTGAGATATTTAAGGCATGGTTTCACCAGTTGCACACACCCACTGAATTTCCATGGCTGAGCAGGGATTTGAACCAGTCTCCTGATTCCTGTTCTTTCACTCTATCCACTACACTACACCACAGTGGGCATTGATGAAATCAATTTACTGCATTATTAGTAAAATTTGCAAATCAAACAATTCAGAATTTTAAAACCTACTTCAAATTGCTTTGTATAAACTCCTTGGCCACTATTTATTTTGCAGTTGTGTGTTTTATAAATATATGGCACTGAATTGTAAAAGCTGGGATATTTTGACCCAGTTTCTTTATATTTTACTTTTAATCTAAAATAATAATTTAAAGTAAATAGTTTGCTCTGTAATTTTTGCCAATATGTAAATAATATTTGCTTTAATTGCATTTATTTTATTTGCCCATTCCTAAGAACATAATGCAAATGTCTCTCAAGAAGCTGGCAGAGTGTTTGGAAATTGCTATTTTGCATAATTTACAAATCTCTTTCTGTATATACTGGGGATGTTGCAACACATAGCCTTCCAGATGCTACCAGCTCTTGCTTTCCACATTGTTCTTCCCTTTTTCTCTGGGAGAGTTTTTGTTAAAATGTAGGGTCTGTACTCTTAGACTTGTCGTTATTTGAAGTTTAACTCCATGTCTCTGTGAGCTGAATCCTTTACAGTGGATAACAAGAAAATTATAAGTGAATCCGTGACCCCATCCGTGCCTATTGCGCAACTTCACAGTTAACATTAGTTGTTAAGCTAATCTTTGAACTGCTGATAATACACTGCAAGAAGACAATTGTGTCCTTCTGATATAGATGCTTAGGAGGAAGAGTATAGCTTTCAGCAACATCTATGAAGAGGAAAGCCAGGGATCGTCATTGCAAGAATTGGAGTGATAAAAATCTTGATTCCATCAGGCGTTCTCGATCTGTAGGCAGCTAAACTATTAGGTCACAAGGAGCAGAGGGGCGGCGAGGGTGGGGTGGGGGTTAAAAGTAAAAGGTGCGAACAGCATTTACTGTGCCTACAGGTCGGAACTGACTTATAGCGACCCTAACGGGGCTTACAAAGCGATATGTTTAAGGAGTGTTTATTTCCGCTCCCCCAGTGAGCTTCCATGGCCAAATAGGATTGAACTCTGCCTTCCAGAGCCCTAGTCTGTCACTCTATCCACTACTACTGGAAATCACTGCCGTTACTAGAAGCATATAAATTCATTAAAGAATGAACATGTAAATATGTAGCCTTAAAGTTGGCCTCCGTCCGATGTAAAAAAAAAATTACAGGATTGCAGACGAACGAGAGGCGTTAGTAAAGAGGCGTTCGCAATGGTACTTGTCTGAACACAGCAGTAAGGCTGCTGTTAAGTTCAGCTGGAGAGAGAGTAACTCGCCTCACGAAAACTGGGAAGATGCAAAAGGGAGACGAAGCGGGGAGTGAGAAAGTGAATGAATCTCCTCTCTTTCAAGATTGGCCAGAGTTCCCCTCCATTCAAGTCCGTGACCTCGATGAGGGAACTTAATCGCCTTCCTGGCATGCAAACGAGCTGCGCGGGGGGGAGGGGGGAAGCCGTCTCGCGCTCCTTAAAGAGGGTTTTAAACAGAAAACCGGCGGCGCGTGCCCTTGAAGCTCCCGCCTCAGCTCTTATGACTCCGCAGCTCCCACTAACGGCTCATCTGTAAAACTGAGTCGTGTGGTGCTCCGGATAATGATGGAAGGGGAAAGGCGGGAATCTGAGGAAGTGGGAGGTGAGGGAGAAGAAGCCATGCCTCAGGAAAAGCAACCCTACTAGAATTATATGTCACTCACGCACACGGAGAATTGCTGAGAGGGCTGAGTATCCAGTACCAGGGCGCTTGAGATTGTTGCGTGAAAGCTTCTTTGATATGAAAGGACTCTCAAGCTTGCCCAAAGCTGGCGTTTAATTATGTTTCTTTCCTGCAGCAAGCACTTGTTTAAAAGTGCAGGTGTACCACAGAGTGTCATGCCAATCGCAGTGTAAATACACTATGAATATAAACTTCAGATGTAGTACTCAGTTTATGTATCTACATATGAAAAGCAAACAAAATTTCATACACCTTCATTATACTTTGATAAATTGTTATGGAAGAGTTATGTGGCAGTTTAAATTAGGAGTAGGTAACTTGAGGGTCACCAGATGTTGCATTGCAAGTCTGATAGCTGTTGTAGCCTGCATAGCCAATATGGGAGCTGCAAACAATATCAAGAAGGCCACAGTTGCCAATCCCACTCGAGAATTTTGTCCACAGCTGAATCTACCTCTGTGGATTCAGCTGTAGGCAGTTTCTTGACTGGTCTTTTAAGACATGGGAAAGCAATTTTTTTAAAAAAAAAATTACTAATATTCTGAAGTGACTGTCTTAAACCACTTCACAATATCAGAAATTCCTGCTGGAAGGAGCCTTGATAGCCAGAAGGTTTACTTTTGGTTTGTTTCCATCAGTCACATATGCTTGAAACAAACCAAACCAGAATGATCCTACATGCACCAAAAATGTAGAAGCCCTTGACAGGCTCAGAAAGTTATGGATAGAAAAGCTCTGGTTTAGTTTGCTTAAGCAATTACATTGTGTGTTTACCAGAAAAAGGAGCAACCCAACCACAGCATACAAAACAGTGTGCTAAATGTAATGGTGACATGATATATAAACAAAGGATGGTTTGTATTTGGATTCAAACCAGAAGCAAGGGCCAGATTTTGTATTAGATATATGTGAACAGTAACAATTACCAGCGACTTGGGATTGAACCTTATGTCAGCTATTTATCTTTTTATTTTTGTTTATTTTGAAGCTGGAACACCTACCAAGATGAAAATGGGCTTAGGCCAATTAGATGTCTCCAAAGAAGTCAACCATACCCAATCTGAAAGTTTAAAAGTGTATATGGACAATCATATTACTCTTAGTAGAGTTTCAAGAATGGATAATGGACTTATGAATGAATTGAGTTCTGAAAACCTTAACATGAATGACTTAATTCATAGTTCAATTGAAGATGGATTCCATTCCAGTCAAGACACCTGCTTAAACTCTATGGGGGAACATACAGCTGATCCCTTGAAATATACTCTTAATACAGAAAATGAAAATGCAGTGCTTGAAGTAAAAATGCAGCCATGTACACAATATTATGATGATGAAGGTCTTGGGAAATATCAGAGATTACCAGAAGATACTTCTTTGGAAGAAGAAACATGCCCATATTTGCCACAATTACAACTCCTTTCATGCAATAGCCATGCTCCATCTTCTTTAATGACACAGCATAGAAAATCTGTGCTGTCTTTTGACACCACCACTCCTAATGGAACAGTCAATACAAATATAGAAATTATACCAGTAAGATTGGGCTTTTATTTACCAGTTATCAGATTTCATTATGAGAATATATGTGCCTTAGATTATTGTATTCTAATTGACAAAAATTTAAACAAAAATTAGTATCAACTTGATTAAATGTAAGATTGGGAGTAATGAATTCTGCTACATAGCATATATAGGAATGTGCTTAGTTTAAGTGGATGTATTATGTAATGTCTTTAGACTGAGATCAATATTTTTAGCTAACATATTTTCTGTCCATGACTGCATTTCTCAAATAGTTTTTAATTAGTTAAAAAGAAGCTTAATAGACTGTAGTAGCAGCAGTTATGTACAAAAACAGGATTCCATGTTGTTCTGCTGCAGTGTCAAAGGCCAAATCCTTGGATAACCTATTGTACATGCCTCTCTATTAGTACAGGAATAAGAATGCTCAGTTTAGTCTAGTTGTACCTTTATTTATTGCTTTACCTTCTTCCCGACTAGTTACTATTGATCACCAAGAGCCTAGTTTTTCCTTATCACTTCATTCCTTCAAGCCCTTTATTTGCCATCAGCTAATTGTGCAGGCAAAAACATAGGCATCAATGTGCTACTGAAAAGTAAAGCTCTTTCCTGCTGTTTCTGAAACCAGATGTGAGTCAGTGAAGTCTGACCTAGACCAATACAGTAGTTGCAAAAAGTATAATGAGACAAACCTTTTAAAAATAAACAAATGCAACGGAGGTATTAGTCCCATGTTAAAGCTGTTAGAAACTCAACACACAAAAAGGGAATATTAAAGTACTGGAGGCTTTTTAGTTTTGAGGATAGAAAAGTTAGCAAAGGCATGACAGAAATTTCTAATATAATTCATGCTGCATAGAGAAAATTAATAGAAATGTTTCTCTCTATATCAAACTACAGAACTCTATATTATATAATCAAAAGTAGTATCACTGAGTAGAGCACATGCTTCACAAGTATCTCAGGCTTAATCCTTGTCATCTCTAGTATAGGGAAAGGCTCCCACCTGAAAACCTGTAGAACTGCTGGACATCAATAGACAGTATTAATCAGCATAGTCTAGTATTTAAGACAACTTCCTATGAAACTGCTTGACAGAAAATTCAAGAAAATTTTTAAGAAAAGTTTATATGGTTTTTAAAAGGGAGGCTTAGTTATGCCCCTTGGAAATAGTATTGTGGAACTTCAATGTTTAATTATGTTGGTGGTGAAAATCTGAGATGGAGTGGGTATCAGGAACTTTTAATAGTTGGATACTGGTTGTGGCATGATAGCCGCCCCGAGCAGACATTGTCTAGAGGGGTGGGGTAAAAATCTAATAAATGAATGAATGAATGAATGAATGATAGGATTGGCTTTGCAAAATAGTTGAGCCTTTGAAATGCATCAGTGTGGCAGCACCTTTACCTTGCAAAACAGGGTGTGTTTTCACGTGCTTAATGAGAAGGTTCTCAAAGGCCTTTGTAAGTGCATTCAGCTGAAAGCATTTACAATGTTCTCATGATCAGGAGCTCTGCCGTAGCAAAGTTCGCAAACATGGGAGCACTGTCTAAGCATATTTAAGTAAATGTGCTTTTACATCCACAGCAAACTTTCTCATTAAACACATGAGGATCTTGCTGATGTCTGAGTAATATGAGTACATAGGGAATGAGCCTTACATTTCCAACACACATTTAGCCTTCTAGGCTTCACCTGAATACAGCTGTAATTTTGAGCAAATATGTTGAATAAATATTTATTCTAATTTCTCTGGTTAATTTTTAATTCTACAATTAAAATTTTGACAATTGAAAATATATTTTATTTAAAAGAAATATGGAACACTAAGGAAGAAAACAGTTTATTCATTTGTCTAATAATGTTTGACTTCTAATGCTTTCTGAAAAAGGATGAAAGATAATTAGAACAAACTAAAGAAATAAATTGAATTATTGTTAGCTTTATTTATAGCATTGTTAAATCATACATGTTTACATTAAAGTATGTTATATCCAATGATGATTTTGCCTCAGTCAGTCCATCTGGTTGTTGTTTTTCTCAGAATTCACATAACTATCTTGGCCTGTTAAAAAAAGCTGTTCGTCAGAATTTGCAAGCCCCTCTGGAATAAAATGGAATTGAGCACAGAGGATGTTTAGATTTAATTTTTAGAATTTTTGACTAAGGCAAAACCACAATTGAGTTTTACCTGAAATGTTTCATAGTATTACTAAGTGGCTTGCACATTAGGTTTCAACAGTATGTTTGCTTTCCTAGGTATTAAAACCATTATTAACTGAGGATGCAAATAACTGTGTTTCCTGTGATGAAATCAAAGGAATTATTAATACTGCTACAATGTCACAGCAGTTATTAGGTTATGCTGGTGGTAAGTGTTTTGGAAATACTTGTTCTTGTATATTTGGGATAGTTCCAGAGTGTCCTTTCCACAACCTTCCCTCAACCTGCTTTCTGCCATTTTAAGCTTTAGGCTTAAAATGAAAAGTCTTCATTAGTGCCAAGGGAGATTCCCTCCTTTAACTCCATGAGACTTCCTAATTTTAAAATAGAAACCTGTATGATATGGAATTAATTAGCTTGTAGTCCAGCTAACATTCCCATTAGAACTGGAGTGAGCTTGCTACAATCTGTATGCAGCCAGTCTGCTGTTTCATACCTCCATTGAGTCCTTGGACCCTCCTGCTTTGCCTGTCCCACAGGGCTCTATTTGTATCAGATTTATTCAAATCCCTAGTCAATCTTGGAGCATTCAGTGCCTTTGTTGAATGTTAACAGGGCTCTAGCTATTTATAAAGTGATATGCAACTAATTTCTTTCTGGACCCTTTCTTTTTCCTTTATATATTCCATAGTAGACTCAATGTCTATGTCTGTTTGTTTAGATGGGTGATATGCATTAAGGTCTACTACAAACTGGCTGATCCATTAATCCCAGTTGGAGACCACATTTCTTAAAGTGGTTCAGTCCCTGAAATATATGAGCCTGCTATTTAAATAAAGTCTTCAATATTCAGCAGGCATTATGTATATTCTACCTACCTAGTAATGAGCAGAGACATTCTTCAGAAAGGTTATGGTTGTGTAAAACCATCTAGTCTATGTTCGGGGGGGGGGGGACAACAGCTTTTTATATTCCCATAAATGGCATTGCACAGAACCAAACAGATTGCCTTCAAGAATACAAGAAGAAAAACAGATTGCCTATCACAGAACAGTCTTCTGGGCAGCCACACAACTTACCTCCTTCCCCACTGCAGGCATTTTGTCTCAGTTGCTCTCACTGTAGAGCTTCTATTTTATCTAGTGCAGCGATTTGCTAGGAATTAAACAGGAAGATTAGAGTGGGCATGACCTTTCAGCAAGCATCTTAAAGGCTGGGGTCATGTCTTCCACCAAAATATTTATTTGCCGAGTTCTGTCTACCTACCCCATGTCTACACAGCTATAGATTTCATACGGTATGTGTAACTGCTTGAAGGAATGTACTACTCAAAGAAATATGACAACATCTAAGCAACTTACTCCTGCACCTCAGTTGATAATTATGGACAATTTATAATAACATAGCAGAAGTAATCTATATCTAAAATACTATCCTCTTCTTGGGTCTAAGATAAAGGTAAAGGTTCCCCTTGACAATTTGTCCAGTTGTGTCTGACTTTAGGTGGCAGTGCTCATCTCCATTTCCAACCCATAGAGCTAGTGTTTGTCTGCAGACAATCCTCCGTGGTCACATTGCCAGCGTGACTAGACACGGAACACCATTACCTTCTCACCAAGGTGGTACCTATTTATCTACTCGCATTGTTGCATTTTGCATGCTTTCGAACCGCTAGGTTGGTGGGAGCTTGGACAAGCAATGGGGGCTCACTCCATCACATGGACTCGATCTTACGACTGCAGGTCTTCTGACCTTGCAGCACAGAGGCTTCAGCAGTTTAACCCACAGCGTCACCACATCCCCTGGGTCTAAGATAACCCTCCTCATTTCCCATGAAACCCTATCCTCATTTACCATGAAACCCTATCGCCTTTGTATCCTTCAATACACTAGTAAAAACTTAAAACTAAATCTGATAAGCAGTTGCTTTATAGTGTTTTCTAATAGGTTAAGAGCACTAGTTTATTTAGTAACATCAGTTCTTTTGGAAAGTAATATATCTACCACTTAACAACTCTGGATTTTATTTAAATTCTTTAAATGGCATATTACTTCATTCACCAAAGAAGCTACATGCAAAAACTAACTTATGTACGAGCAGCTGTGCTTTGAACTAACATTCTTTTAATTTGATGTAGACTCCCCAGTTTGGTGCCACTTACTTCCACTTACTTCAGATGGCATAATAGTCTATGAGTTCTACTGTATTAGAAATGTAACTATGGTTCATTTTGTATATTGCTTCTGCAGACCTAAGCTTTTCAGACTATTGGATCACTGTATTACTATTTGCAAATTTATTTCTGGGCACAATAACTGCTTTATTTCAAATAACCCATATTCTACTTTGAGTTTATATTTATTTAAAATATTCAGAAATATCAAAATAAACTGAAGATTTCTTAAGGAAAAAACAAGGGGAATAGCTTGGCCAAAGTAGGCTATATTTCCAATTCTCTTTTCTTTTTGGACCTCATTGGTTACAGTCAAACTGCAAAGAACCTTACATACCTAATACTGTCTGCGTAATTTTTCTTCAACTTTGTTTGTATAATAGAATCTTGCAATGGTATCAGTACTTCATCTCTGGATATTGCTCTTGCTCCTGATGAACTTGTAAGTAAATATTTGATTTTTAATTTCACTGCTGAAGTCTACCTGATTGTTGCAAAAATGTGTGCTACTATATTTATTATGCTTTTTTGTTTTTACATCACCTTGGGCATTCTTGATTGAAGGGACAGATAGAAATGTAAATGCATACAAGCAAAGATCAAAAGAAGAAAACAATAGCTATCATCCTATTTCCATTTTTGCTTACTGGAGTGGCAAGAAGAAAGAGCTTCTGATTTGTAGCACTAGAAACCTTCCATCTAGAAGCATTTTAAACTCACCAGTTAAAAGCTGGTTTAATTGTATAAGAAGCTGGGACAAGTGAGATAAATAGATACTTTCAGTTCACTCGCATTTCTTAAATAATGAGGGTATACTACTCTTGATACACAAAGTAAAATCAGGAGTCAGACACACACACACACACACACACACACACACAGTGCTTTGGCTGGCTTCTGAAGTTGCTAGCTGATTCAAGTTCCCAGGCAAAACAGTCATATAACTGGAGACAAGTTGTTGATAAGGATGATAGCACTGCTAAGCTTTTTAATAATATGAGTAACCCGAATCTACAGATGGTAGGTTTTCTTGTCTGTCTGGCCATTTCAAGAAGCAAGGTGTTAAATTAAATTTGCTATGATACTAATTAAGTAAGATCCTTTTTATGTAACTAGAAACAGACAAATACTGTTTCCAGGATAAAGATGCAGATGTTACATTCAGGCTTTAATAACTGCATGGAAACCATAGAATAAATAGTTAAAAGATATGATTACGACATATGAATTTTTAAATGTATGAACACTTTTGTTATTTAAATACCTCAATTGAGGTATTTAAAGGAAATTAAATTATTTATTTCAGGGTTTTTTGCCACATTCTTTTTTTATTCTTTACAAGAATAGTAAAGTAAATCTAGCATTTACTATAAAAATTGCAACAACAAAACTGTATTGCTTGATCTACATATTCATATGAACATAATGTTTCTTATCAGTTGTGTTATTTAAGCAAGCTGGAGTTTTTTCACTACAGTTTCCTTAACAGTGACGTAAGGTGTTGCTTACATTTCAGGCTGAAGTGAGAGATGCAGTTGTTAGCATTACAGCCAATAACTCAGAAGAAGAAGCTTTTCATAATTCAAACAATGGCGCAACTAACCACAAATTAGCTGTTTCACAGAATGCAGTGGAAGGACCCACGTGTTCACACAGAAATTGTTCCAATCCTCAAGTGGTAAGTACTATTTCTTACTGGTTATATCAGCATACAGATGCAGAGGAAAACTCTATGTTTGCTTATTGTTTATTAGGTGAAATTAAAATATACTTTGTAAAGTGTGGTGCCACACTGATAGTAAGAAAATAATGACTGCCATATAGTTTTCTTTATTCATGGGATATGCAATGTTTTTGCACCCAAATTCCACAAAAACTGAAATGAATTGTGAATTAGGCACATGTTAAAATGTATTCTAGAAAGCTGGTTGTTGATACAACCTTTTCATATCTTTCCATTCCTTTCTGTCCTTCTTCTCTGCCCTTCATATTTAAAAATAATATGTTGTATAATTTTGTACTGCAAATAAGTTTCTTTGAAATTAAGACCCTATAAATGAAAGAAGATATGTATGAAGTGCAACTAAGCAAGATGTATACAATCTATAAATAGTATTACCTTAGGAAAACAATAGTCTGACTTTAAGCTTTCCTATCAGAACTTATTCACATAAATATTACTGCGGATTTCCAAATGAAAACTATTGAAAACTAATACTTGGCTATGCATTGCAGATAATCTGCCAGTTGAAGAGTGGTACTCATATACTCTGTATAAGCAATGCTGACACAAGAGAACTGAAAGCAATTCATTTGCTTGCCCCAAAGCAAGAATCAGAACAGTATCTTCAGCCAGGTATTGAAAAACAAGAAAATATAAATAATATAGCTGTTTAATATGAAGCTATTTGTTGCTTCTGATCAAAGTCTAAAGATATTGCAGATTATAGTGCAATCTGTTCAGACATTATAACATTATAACACTATGTTACTTTTCGAAGTTGTTAAACTGATGAGACTATTTGACCTTATGATCATCCTTACCTAAAGAAAAATGTACTGTACTAGAATGCTGTGGTCGCTTTTTAAAGGAAAGATCAAGGCAGAAGGGGAAAAGGAAAAAAGTAGTTAAAAAAGGAAGAGTTGACTGAAAGTATAGATGATGTTAAAGTTAAAAGAAATAACATCAGTTATATAATTGAAAGTGTAGTATATGATCATGTTAATTGCTTCAGGATTTTTGTGGTCAAAAGTGGTACTTGCAATTGAATAACTCTGGAAAAGGCAGGGCATGCAATCTGATAATTCTTATGTCTCACACATGGATCTTTGCACCTGTGCATAGTGTCTCTTTGGAAACTTCTAGCTTTCTCTATGGCCCTACTCTCTCCCTCACATTTGTATAGGCATGATCCTTGGCCTAGCTCTCAGTTCCTTTTCTTCCACTGTGACAGCATCACTCCAGGGAGTCTCTCTCTCTCTCTCTCCCTCCTCTGGGGGCCTATACAAGAAATGACTAATGTAGGACAGAAAAATGTCCCACTCTGATAATCGTAACAAATGCCTTTATTGCCTGGGTCTGCCCATCTGCCAAGACTTTGCTAAAGTAGGTCTTCACAACTATGTCTCCAAACGCTGACTCTTAATTTGGAAGAAACCCCTCCAGGCAACTGACTCAGTTTCATCCATGCCTCTAGCCTCACTTGTGTCAGTTTGCAAGACTCCATCAAAAACTGCATTGATGGCCTCTCTTGAGCCAGTAGATCTAGTACCGCATGCCATTGTTATTTAGGAACTCTTGAGACTCAATACCAGGAGAATACTGTATCTTCTCAATACCATCCATCAGCACCATCAGAGCCAAGTGCTAAAGATAAAAGAAGAAATTCTAACCTAATCAGAAAAAAAGCTCTAAAAGAAGGACAAGACCCCTGATTCCCCTACTAAGCCATCTGTCCTCATTCCATCAGTGGCTTCCTCTCTCATAGTAGAGCCACCAAATGAGATGCCACCATCTCAGTTGTTGCAATCACTCAGCTGATGATAAAGTTGCCTTACTAAGGCAGAATGAAGTGATGTGCTTCTTTACCAAGGTTGAGCTCCAAAGCACACAAAGACATTGTGTCAAGCTCACCACTAACTAATACTGACCTATCAACCTTTACTACAAAGAGCAACCATTTCTCACTCCATTGCAACACCAAGAGATAGTGCAGACATCAATTTCATGTAGTGTAGTGGTTAAACTGTTGCAGTGCAATGAAAACACTGCTCATGGCCTGAGTTTGATCCGGGACTCAGGTAGCTGTCTTGAGATTGACTCAACCTTTTATCCTTCCGAGGTTGTGAGTCTAAGGACCCTGTAAGCTGTGCATCTTTGAGTTCAAGGAATAATGGTGCACCCACACATCTATGATTGGTTACTGGTAGCACCAGCCAGCAGCTTGCTGCACTGCAATCTTCAATCTACACTACCTGTCAGACCTCAGTCTTTGTGTAAATTGCAAGAAGGTGCTTTTCCAGCCCTCCTAAGTATATAGGAATGACCCTCAACTCTTACGCTATCTGAGTCTTTCTTCCAAAAGATACATACATTTGCATTATTGCCTAGCAAAACAATACACAGAGCCTTATACTATAGCACTCACTATAAAAACTAGTTTTCAACCATAATGGTGGTGTCATACACTAGTTCTTGGAAGATACTAACCATCTGGATCCATTTCAGTTGGCCCATGCTATGGAACCAAGACAGTTCTGGTTGCTCTGCTTGATGACCTGTTAAGGAAGGACAATTGGGGGACTATGACCTTGTTGGTCCTCCTTGATTTTTCAGCAGTTTTTGATATAATTGACCATGATATCCTCCTGGACAGGCTTTGATTCTGGGAATTGGAGGGTCAGCATTACCCTGGCTCTGGTCCTTTCTCAATAGAAATGTCCAGAAGGTCCAGCTTGGGGATGTTGTTTTGACCTCGTGGGTTCTTCGTTGTGAAGTCCCACGGGGTAATTATCTCCCCGATGTTCTTTAACAACTGTATGAGGCCATTGGAGGAGGTCATCCAGAAATTGGGAGTATGCTGTCATCAATATGCTGATGACATGCAACTCTATATCTCCTTTTCAGCAGCAGCAGTGGAAGCTGGGTCGACACTGGAGCAGTGCTTGACCTCAGTTATAGACTGGATGAGGGACTAACAGATTGAATTAAATCTGGACAAGATAGAGATCATGTTATTGGGAGGGAAATCTGGCCAGCTAGGAGGCATTTGGCTCTGGATTGGGTCAAACTTCCTCTGACGGACCAGGCCTGCAACTTAGGGGTGGTTCTGGACCCAGAACTTCCCATGGAGAACAAATATTGGTGTGGCTTGCTCTGCCTTTTTCCATTTCCAGCACATTGCACAGTTGTGGCCCTTCCTGAATAGAAAATCCCTGACCACACTGGTTCATGCATTGGTAGTCTCTAGAATCGATTATTGCAACACTCTCTACACGGGGCTGTCTTTGAAGGTGATACAGCAGGTGCTACATATATCCAGGCTACCTGGTCTTCCCAGGTTTTGACATTACAGATGGTCAGCCCAAAAGAGGCACAGAAATCTACCACCAGGAATGGAGCCCTGTATTTGTATTAAGTTGCCATTGCTTTGCTTCCGTTTATATATTTTAACAAGTTTTATCACAAGCATTATCTAAGTGGCAGAGACGTTAATGAGTAACTTCAGCACTTAGGCCTTCACTGCTCTGTTGGTTTAGTTTGGGTCATATGAGATTGAAATACAGAGGGATAGGAGAAAGGAATGAAAAAGAGTGTCTGGATCTGAGTGTGTGATGGGCATATTAATTCTGAGCTGAGGCCATCTGGTTTGTGTTCCCTTCTGCCTGAAGAGTGGCTGATGGCAATATAAACACTAGAGGTGGATGAATTTACATTCTTCTAGGAGCAAAATTTTCTTTCATCTAAATTTCACTCCCTGGGTCAAATTTCCAGTCACCCTGCTCAAGATATAGCTCTGCTAGCTGGTGCTTCTAAATCTTAAAATAACTACAGTGAACAGGTGTAATAGCCATGTTAATCTCTCGTTTGTTACCGGAAACTTAATAAAGAATTTGTGGATTGCAGCCCACTTCTTGAGATGAAATATGTGTGTTTGAAGAAGTTCCATAAAAGGACTGCAGTTCATAAAAGGTTATGACAAATAAAAGTTTTTCGTTTTTAAGGTGTGACATAACTCTGTTGGTTTTAATACTGAACAAAACCAATACAATTCAAATCTATTTACTGATCTGGGGAAAGTATCACAATTTTCTAATTACAAATATAGTGTATTCAATGTTGGGAAAACTATGGTATTCTCAAAACAGAAATATTAGCCTGGGTTTAGCTATCTGGGCTGAGCAGAAGTGTATATAAACAAATACACACACGCATGAAAGTATTATGTAAAACCATAAAACTGGCAAACCACAAAAGTAGTAAATTTTGATTAATAAAACTTCACATCAAAATAAACCTCCTAATCTTTAAAGTGGCATAATAGTTTTCTTTTCAAAGCTTTGTTTTCTGTCTCTCCTTTTTTTATCCTTTAATTTTGCCAAAACAAAATAATTTGCCTACTTGCATTTACCAAAACTCCCACCTGATGTCACTGTTTTACTAAGTATAAAGGCATCTGATGACTCAAAGGTATAGTTTTCTCAGGTTAGTACAGAGGTGGTATTTCAATAAGAATTCCTTTCACAAGACAAAATTTCTCAAGAGGTATATGTATGTGCAATTTTGAACACAGTGCATCTAATTTTTGACCTGGAGAGTTACATTTGGACACTAAAAAAAACCCCTAATGCCTGTCCTTTATGAATTTGATACATATGATATGTATGAATGTGTGTAATAGGTCAGCTTACAATATTGTCTGTTTTAGATACTACCTCAGAGACTAAAAGTCCAAGGTGGTAATAGTCCTATTAGGGGAGCATAAGAAGCTGCATGATACTATGTCCAATCATTGATCCATCTAGTTCAATAGTGCAGTGGCTCTCCATGATTTCACAGAGGAATCTATCTAACAACCTTACCTAACAATGTCATGGATTGGACCCATGATGGCTAGTATACAAATGAAATTCTTTGCTGCTGAGCTACTGTCCTGTGCTACAAGAGTTTTGGATATGTGTGTTTTCCTTGTTCAGCATCCTTTCTTTTTTATGTCAATATGTGATTAATGGTTTTAATTTGTACATATAAATGTTGGAAAAAATATAAGACTCATCATACGCCTATTTCTGTAGCAAGAAATTATTAACTATGTACCCACCTTCTTTGAAATGTAGGTCTTATAAGAACTGCTGGAACTTATAGGAACTGCTCCTTAAACAGTGGTTTAAAGAGCCAGAGGTTGAGAGTTCAGTTTCCCACTGTTCCTCCTTGACAGGGAATGGAGTAGATGATCCGAAGAGTCCGTTCCAGCTCTGCAGTTCTTAGATTAGATTATTATCTACATATTCATTTGTTTAATCTACAAATCACACTGATGTCAGTTCAATAAGCATTTTCTTACTAGATGCAGCTAACTCCATAACATCAGCACGGGGACAGTTCTTGCCAGTTGTGAGTAAACTGAATGTCTGCACACAAGAGGTAAGTGTGTTCTTTTTCTTGTCTTTCAGGCAAGGTTTCCAATTTGGCAATTTCATAACACATGGTTGTGGCCGTTTTACTTTCTGCAAAGGTTTATGCAAGATACAGTGGGGTCTTGACTTAAGAACGGCTTGAGTTAAGAACATTTTGACTTAAGAACCACTCTCATAGGAAAATATTGACTTGACTTACATACTTAGATTTGAGTTAAGAACTGAAAAAAACCCACGTGGGAGGCAGGGAAAGTGCAAAATTTGAACTTTCAATTAACTGTTGGCCAGTGAAAAGGGTGCCTGCCTGCTTCCTCACTCCTCCCAGCGTTTAGAGAGTGGATTGGGAGACAGTCTTCAGACTGCCTGGTACTGTACTGCCTGGACTGTATTTTCCCTGCCTTCCCTGAACCTTTCTTGACCTAAGAAGAAAAGAAACAAAATATACCCCTCTAGTGGTCGAAGGCGGAATAGCAGCTTCCCATTAGTTTCTATGGACGGAAAAGAGCAGATACGGATCAAATGGTTTTCAATGCATTCCTATGGGAAATGCAGACTTGACCTGAGAACTTTTTGACTTGAGAACCGCCTTCCAATACGGATTAAGTTCTCAAGTCAAGACCCCACTGTATTACCTTTTTGCCATGGAGCCAAGGACTTTTGAGTTGTCTTTTCTCATATTTTTGTGCAGTCTCTTCAGGCCCATACATCTTCAAGCTTGATGGAACTGCTGAACACTAACTTCCTTACACTATTCCCATACTCTAATCTATGATATATAGTCAACTGTTGAGAATATATAACATTATGTCTGCATTGAATTATTTTCCTCAGCTCTTCCCCAATCAGAGAGATTTCTGAGGTTGGTGGTTATTAAGGAGAACTGATTGTTTTTTATGTTTTTTGATCTGTGGTAGCTAAATCTATCACCACTTGAGAGATACACATTTATTCTAAAACTGAAGGTAGGAGCCAATCATGGGAATTAATGAGTTAATTAACTAATTAAACAGTTAGTGTAGAATGGCTTTTAACTGTAACTGGTGAAGTTTCTCCCCATGTGACAATGTTTAATGTTGACTAGTTTTAAAATATAAAAACTAGATGTTTAAAAGTATAAATTGTAAGTTTAACAATTAAGAAATCCAGCTCTCTGACACAGCAGCCCTCTGGATGCCAAACTGGTATGTTTTTAGAAGAGATTAACCCCACCCCACCCCAAGTGAGGAAGGATGTCTGTTAGCATTTAATTTTCTTTGCATGTGTATCTTGAATTTTCTGTTCCATTTTGTGATTAATCACCAGAGGATAAATACAAGCTTAATTTGCAAGTCTGAATGCTGAGATATGTATCTCTGAATAACTCCTATTATAGGATGGAAGGAGGAAAATGTCTTTGTGTGTTTATGTGTTGAATGTGTTTATGTGTTGAAGTCAGCTGGACAACTAACTGGCTGCAAAAGAAAAGACAGTAAGCAGAAACAAGAGGCAATGGCTGGGATGGTACCATTTTTGCTGCTAAATATAGAGGTCACACAAATATACGTTGAGAGTAGTAGCTTGTCCTAAATTTCCAAACTTCCATGTTCTACAAGTACTGCAATAGCAGCATGGTGGACTTTTCTTCCCCTCTCTTTTCCTCTGCAGCTCTCAATGCCATTCAAATATCCCAAGTTCCTTGAGGGGCTGCACTGAGGAGGTGAATTCATTACCCCATTCCAGGTTCTGCCACGGTGGAAGCAGTTCTATTGGTTGATATCACTTTACTGAATTTAGGCTCAAGTTGTTAAACCTTCTAGACTTTATACCATTTGGATTTTATGATCAAATTGTTCCAGATTTTCACACTTTTGTAGAATATTACTAGGTTTCCTGAATAGCCGCCTCCGCCTCCTTCCTCCTTCTCCCTCTCCTCTACTAGTAGCTGAATATCACTGCAGCTGTTCTGACTTCAGCAGCAGCAGCGTAAACAATGGTGCTATGTTTCTTCCAAACTAATCTCTAAGCTTTTTCAGCTAATAAGTTCTGCTCCTTCCTGCATTTCTTTTATCTTGAATGATCAGCAATATTGATCTGTACTTTTAATTTCTCATTAGCTTTCTGAATTTTATGGATTTTACAATTTAAGTGCATGCAATGCATATTTTTAGAGTGTATATTTTAATTGTATTTTAATTGTTTATTTTTTTTACTGTATTTTAATTGTTGTAAGCCGCCCAGAGACCTTTCGGTAGTGTGGTAAATTAAATAAATAAATAAATAAAATAAAATAAATTTCTCCACTGAAATAAGCAGCTAAATTTCTCCACTGAAATAAGCAGCTGAACAAGTCTAATTCTCAGAATCCCACACACACCCTTTAATCAGTGCCACAAAGCTCCGTAACCCCAGCATATGTTTGTTTAATGACTTAATTAATATTCATATTCTCTTTTCTGTCTATGTATAGAAATTATTCAGTAGTAGGGCCTAATTTTTTAAGGTAAAGAGGAAGATTTTGCTAAAGGTCAGTGAGCGTGTTAGCAGTAGTGATGTGAATGATGAAAACAATTATTCCGGCTTCTTTTTTGGGGTGGTGGTGAAACATCATTTGTTTTCCATTCTTTCATTCATTGGTTCTTTTGTTAAACACAAAAGGGACCAACTATTCCAATATTGTCTGTCTAGTTTCCCTCCCCTCATGCTTCTGGTGCTAGGCCAAATTAAGCCCTACGGAACATTAGAAAACACTCCAAAAAAGCAGAAGCAGGGTAACAGACCATCAATAATTGCTCCCTATAAAAGTGGGCAACTGTACACGACAAAAACAAATCGATCGTCATCAGATCTATGCAAGGACTAAGTACTTCAATGTTCACATTTATCATTATCACTTTCATCATCATATGCAATTCAATATCAGTACAGATAATAAAGTAAAGTAAATCATCATCATGAATATCATCAGACCTATGTAGGACGGCATACTTTTTATTATCACTTTCACCATCATTACTATTGTCAGCTAATTATCATTAATTATCATGGTAAGCTGTTGCTTTACTCACTTGGCATTGGCAACTCATCTCCCTCCTCTCCTAACCTTCAGCTCACTGCACATGGTGCTGCCAGTGCCTGTTGCCAGCCATGGTGCCACTTACTCTGAAACAGTGAGGGAGCAGTGGAATCTATATTATTCCTTCAGTGGGATGATTGATTGGCTAGATTGCCTTTCTGTTTTGTTTTATTTATTTATTCAAATATTTTTACCCTGTCTTTCTCCTAAAAAAAGACTCAAGGCGGCTTAAATAATTAAAAACACAATATTAAAAGCTAAAAACAGTAAATTATTCAAACATTAAAAAGAATGAAATAAACACTATATTTAAAATGTTAGGTAAAAGCATTACTAAAACAGATTTAAAAGCAGCAAAAATACAAACCAATTTGTTTTATAACATGTTTTGTTATTTAAAATTCTGGAAAAAGCTAGCCCCCCCTTCCCCTACCACAATTAGACAAATCTTTTCATTTCACTTTTTTTTACACACACACACACACACACAGAGAGAGAGAGAGAGAGAGAGAGAGAGAGAGAGAGAGGTTCCTTAGGGACAGGAAGGGAACTGTGGAACAGGTTATCTCTGCAGTGAGAGAATCTCTTTTGGAAAACCTTCCTCATGCTCCTAGCTAGCTACTTTCAGGCTCTGTTCATTTTTATTTTTCAGTGCACTTATCTAGTCCCTTTGGGGGACTAATGCTTTTGACTTTTTCCCCCTGTTTCCTGTGTACAGGCAGAGGGACTTTTGTTTATTTTATTTTTGTAAAATTTTTGTTGTCGTTTAGTTGTTTAGTCATGTCCGACTCTTCGTGACCCCATGGACCAGAGCACGACAGGCCCTCCTGTCTTCCACTGCCAGGACATTTTCTTTATTCCTTCCTTCCTAGACTTGGGGCAAGACAGGAAGACTTTGACACTGAGAGGGACGCTTACCCTATTGTCTCATCCTTATTTTGCATGCGGCCAGTGGTAGTGCTGTACACTCTCCGTCACTCTCTCAATCTATGGGCAGAGTGGGATAGCCCAGAAAAGGCAGAAAAATTAGTTCTTATATTCTCTTGCTGGGAATGTGGGAATGGCACAGACTCAGGACATCCTCAGTGATGGAGAAGATGTGTTCACTGATCACACTGACTGAGGAGCAGGGTTGGCCAGGGCTGGCCACACTACACTCTTCTGAATCCAGTACTCTTAGAGATCTGTGGTGTAGGACCCATTGAAGCATCCAGAAAGTCTGCCACCATTTGGCTCACTCCACCACACTGACTGGGAATGAGAACTCTACTGCTGCTGCCCAGTAGGGTTGCTATTGCAACAACAGCTGGTTTCTTAAAGTTTCCAGCAGCTGGAGTCACAAAAGAACCTGGCTGGGCATGGCTGGCCCTCCTCTCTTTTCCCTCCCCCTCCCCCTTCTCAGCCAGGAAGGCCTTGATCTGAGGTTCACAAATCATGGCCTTGGCATTTCAGCTATCTTCTCCACAGTGATGCCAGTTGCTCCCTGACATGGACATGCAACTGTTGGAGAAAGACTTCTGCCAGTGGGTCAAGGGACCCCTAATTTCCTCAGGTTACTCAAAACTCTGCAGCTTGGTCTTCAGGGCATTGGTAAAAGACAGGACATTTCCCAGACCTGCTGTGGCCCTGAACAGAGCCTCAGTGACCTTCTTGAATGACTTCAGCCAGTGACCTGAGCCAGTGACCTGAGCCTCATGACCTGAGCCAGTGTCCCACTGAATCATGCTCAGTAGGACCGGGATCCCAGTGCCTACTTCTGAAGACATGAATCATAGACCAAAGTTCCCCCAAGTGCTGCAGCATGTCATATGAGGAGTTCCATCTGGCTCCAACATTGCGGACTAGGTGGTGCTCTGGAACACCTACCTCTGCCTGCTTACAGAAGAGCAGGTAGATGGCCTTCATGCTGTGCAAAAGTGGCCTATAATCTTCCTGCAGCTCTCCAGAAGCAGACA